GTATAAATAGCGCTGTACTGAATAGCCATGACTAGCAGTTTAAAATTCTGCATACACCAATGAGATTCTTTAATATTCACAAGTGCAGCATAACCACATCTCCTCTCACTTTTTATACATTGTGGCCATGACCCTAGAAAATAGGCGATGCTTCATTTATTGCTCATGTCTCTGCATACTACTGCTAGCTCTAGTGACTGTGTATTTTGTACTTGTATTTGGAAATCTCAGTGACCTTGGTCACACCAGGCTGAAGAAACCTATCTTGCAAGCATGTGCCCAGGTGATTAATTTCAACAAACAGGTTGCTTATAAGAGTGTAATTACTCACTTGTGCAAATGGCAGGATGGGTGCGCTGACCTGTATTAGACACACTGTAGTATACACCTCCCCGTCAGTTCTTTTTCACCGTTAATCAGAGGACTGAAAACCTTGCAACATTTAGACAGCTTGAGGTTGAAGGCTGAAATGTCACTTTTAAAAGAGGGTTAAAAAGGTCACGCAGCTGCAAATAATAATAGCCCAATGAAAATCAGATTCTTACTGCAGCCCATTTCAAGAATAACATTGAAACAGGAAACAAGCCTGCTTGATGTTTTTACCAGTAAGGCAATAAGATTACTGCTGAGTTTAAAAAGGGGGAGAGAGGCAGAAAGGAGCATGCTTTCTTGGTGTTAGTTGTTAGAAATATTTTTCTGATTCAGAAAGGATGATTATGGGGCTCTGCGAAGTCTCCTTGAGGAGCCTGAGGACGTGGGGTACTTCCCTCTGGATGCTGCTGAGAGGGGATGTAGTTTGTTACTGTGTTCTGAGGGTGGTTTTGTTTCTTTTGTTTGCTTTTTATTTCTTTGTTATGTTCTTGCATTCCTCGCTGTGAGCTTCAGTTTTATTAATTATAATAAAAAGTGTTTAGAAGTATCTTATGCAGAAATCAAGGAATAGAAGAAAATCTTGGCTTGCCACAGAACTGACTTGTTTGTCTTCCATGTGACATAGCTTGGAAAAGTCTTTCTATGTTTCTTCTGTATTTTTGTTTATTTATTTTCTGATTAGAATACCTTAACTTCTAAGCAGAGTGATATTTCAGCAGAATGGCAGGCTACAACAGTGTAACAGATTTCCTCACTTACACGTTCTGCCAATAAGGCTCTTTACGTGGTCACAATAGGGCAATAAATGCTGACAGATGTTGTTAACATGTCTATTAAAATTCAGCCCCCTTTTCTGCTGCATAATGCACTCATGCCTTTTGTTAATAATATCAGAACTAATGCTGACATATCAATATTAGTGCTCGCTTATATTTATATTCCTTGTTTGTTTCTTCAAAGAGGTCACAAAGCTGCAATAAATTAAGCTCTTGATAACAGAAGTAAAAAATTCAAGCCTGAGCAATTTCTTTACTTTTCAGTCATCATAGGTTTGCCTGATATTTTTCATGCACATTAATTGCGGCAGTCATATGTAGTACTATGAAAGGTGCAGGAGTGTAACTTGAATTTTTAAGATCCCAAAGGATAATAAGCACCTTAATTTAGATGGAAGGGTTGCTGTGATTTACTTTTATTAGGTGAAGTCAAAATGTTGCCATTGGTTGCATTATTTCCTTCATATACGCTAAATCACCTGCACACGCTATGGAAAAAGATGTGGGTTGTGCGGCCCAGCAACGCACACGAGCCGTGTGAAGCGAACGCACACGCTATGGAAAAAGGAGATGTGGGTTGTGCGGCTCAGCAACGCACACGAGCCGTGTGAAGCGAACTGCATGCCAGAGGCTGTGTACCACTGTCTGTATCCTGCACTGAAGGATGGGAGATGCATGCTTGCATGTTGAAAAGGGTTTCCAAAACCCTGACCCATGCAAACTATACTGTGTACAACCAAAACACCTCTGTTGCTGAGGGCTTCCATCCCGCTGCAAACCTGGGGTGGGATCCTTTGTTGCTTGTGCATCCGCAGCTCTCGCGGAGTTCCGCAGGAATGGGAGATGCAGGAGGTTCTCACTCACAGCCCAGATTTTCAGCTGCTTGTTTCTGGTCAACGTTCAAGCATGAAGCTTGAATTACTGCCGTAAGATGGCCAAGGATCCGACACCCTCTCAAAAATCGTGGGCAGTAGGCAACTTCTTTCACTTATTTGCTATTGTAAGAGTATTGTAATAGTACTACAGTGTCAACCACGGTGATAGCATCACATGTGAATACAAATTCTGCATGGTGCAATTTGTCTTGAGGGCATTGTACTGTCTGATAACATGTTATATGGATCAAGTTATGCTAGACAGTATCCTGGAGGGCACACGTGATATAGCCATTCTGGATTATTACTTTTTTTTTCTTAAGTTTAGTGTCTACAAAAAGTCTGCAAAGAGTGATTCTCTCTTGTGGGAACCAGCAGTTGCTTGTACATTTGTGGTAAATGACTAGGCTGTTGAATCTGACACCTTTTCAAAGTACTGAGAATAAAACCCAAGTCCATGTTTTCCTGGAGTCAATCCCTATGCTCAGGATTGTAGTCCTCATCGGTATGTTATTTTGGTGTTTAGTGCATGCTTATCTATCTAGATAACCTTGAGAATCATTTAATTGTTATCAGAGCATGCACTGATGGATTTAGGTACTAAAGCTCAAGTTCAGGGCAGGGAGGGAAGTCTTAGACTTGCAGTACTCAATAAGAAAACAAACCCCAAATAATTCCTGGTAATGTTTTGAAATTCACTTGGACACTTGGGACCAGAATTGTTACTATCTTGTTTTCTTTAACTGAGTCTCATCCGTTGTTCTGCTATTGCAAACGCAGTTGTCACTCTCCCCCGAGGAGGGGAGAAAGGGGTAACAGAAGCCTTTGGCAGTGCTTCAGTTGCAGGAGTAATTGAGATATCAGATAAAGCCTTTCATTATCCACACGTAGCTTTTCTTTTTTTTTTTTTTTTGTTTCTTTCTGTGAAAAGGTCTTTAGGAAAGGCAACATCCCAGGGTCACATCGCATAACTAGAGGTGGATTTAAAAATCAAAAAATCAAACTTAGCTGGAGGTTTTGGTTTTGTTTTTTTGCAGGGGTTGGTTTGTTTAGTCAGTTATCTCTCTGCTGCTTGTTTCTTTCAGACAGGATAGCGCAATTCAGAGCATTTTTATTGCTTCACCTCTGAAAAGCTTGTCTATGCAGAGTCTGGAACCGAAATAACTGAAATTAGAAGTAATTTAACACCTTTAGTTATTTTAGTATAAGCCTTTATGCGAACATACTCTTTCATTTCTGATTATGAGTATCCTATTTCAGTTTAACATAGCTGTAAGTTATATCAAAACAGGATATGAATAATCTAAAAGAGTAAATTAGGTACAATTTTAGTTATTTCAGTTCTAGCCTTGTGTAGATGGATAGGTTAGTCCTGAGTTAGGGTCTGTCTTGACAACTGATTGTATTTGGTGCAATAAATCACTTGTCTTAGGCCAGATGTTGGTAGAGATGTCCACATCAAGAAAATCAGTTGATGCTAATTATCGCCTTTAGGAGGTAGTGTCCTTATGGAGGTTAAAGGGCAAATAAAAATAGAAATTCTTTACTGCTGGATGCTGCTTATGAGAATCAGTTGAGTCAGGTAAAGGGTGTTCTGTTGCCTTTTCTTTTTTCAGGTCACAAGTAGGAAAATATCCTGTCAGGCTAATGCTGTCCACCAGAATGAATTTTAATTAAAAAGAAAACATTAGAATCCAAAAGTTTTGGGTTTTTTTTGAGAACTTAGGGCATTGAAAATAATAAGTGTAGGTCTAGCTGATGTTCAGGTTAAAGGTGTATTTATTGTTTGCAGGAAATGGTAGCAACTCTTCTGAAAATAAAGCTTTTCTAACAACAAGTGTAAGTGTGGTAAAGATATTCCTGATAATAAGAAGCAATGGATTGTAGTTTTAAAAAATGACAGCAGGGTTGAGTAATTTTAGCACTTGTCCTTTTGCAGATTTTTGTAGTTTTAAAATCAAATTCTGCTCCTCCACCAAGATATTTCTCTTTGTTTTATGAAAGAATTACACAAACACAACTCAGGTGTTTGTCTAAGTGGGGCTGCAGCGAGGCTGAATTTTAAGGGTTTTGAGGCATAATGTAAGCAGAAGTCATATGTTGTGCTTTAAGGTGAGTCAGCTACTATATTCTAGCTTGTAATGCCAGTTGTACCAACAGGCTCAAAACATTTCTGAAAGAAACGACTTATTTATTTTACGTCCTAGAATGTTGCTAAAAAATGATTTTTGTTGGTGCCGGTCAGGGACGCTGCCGTAATATTGACCCAAATTCAGCTTTGTTACTGTGTTCTGAGGAAGAATGTTCCCTCCTTCGGTTTTATTCAAGACCTGGGAGCTCTCCCCCAGGCTTTAGTTCAAGGTTACAGGACTGGAACTGCTATGGGGAAGCTGCAGTTTTAGGCAAAACTTCACTTCTCAAGCTCCCGAGTATCTAGTTGACCTTTTAAAGGATGGGGATGCACGATTATCTTGTGTGTATAGGGAGCATGTATGTAATGTATTTAAGTTATTAATATCAAGCAGTATGGATGAAGAACTTCAAAAAGTGGTTTTTTTTCTCAGAAGTAACCTAGACGTCTGGTTTTAATATTGTTCAAAAAAATGAAGAAGGAAAGGTAAAAACCTTTAATTCGAGATATTTCTGAGCAGACATGGTCTTATCTAATAACAACACTGAACATACGCTTTTTTTTGAGGCAGATTTCTGCTGTGAAAGTGTAATGGTTTTTTTTTTCTTCCTTCAAAGTAAATATGCTCTCAGGAAGGAGTATAAGAACTTAGACTGTAGGGAGCCTGCTGAATATTAGCAAATTTAGTATTTTGAGGATGAAAACTTTGTTCTGGTCTGTTTTGGGAGTTTGAAATAAAAGCACAAACTGTGACGATTGTATGTTGCATGTATGTGTGAAGTTTAGAATGTATATATTCATAGGTTCCCTTTCTTTCCCCCTCCACCTTTTAACATGTAGATTTATGAGGAATCAAAGATGAACTTGGAGCAGGAGAGGCCTTTTGTCTGCAGTGCCCCAGGCTGCTCACAGGTGAGTGGAGTCAGCATTGATATTAATTGAGTCCTCAGCACTAGCTCTGGCTTGTATAATGCCTTCTGATATATTAACACATGTCTAATAATAATATGTGTGATGTTTTTTTAGTTTTTTTTTTAAGTCTTCTCCCCCCTCCTCAATTCCCTCCTTACCCTACAAGATATTATTACAAAGTATTTAAAGCAAATAAAACAGCCAGTCAAAAGTCAGTTGGTAAAAGTGCTCCTCAAGCTGCTTCTGTGCCTTCCCTCATCCCCAAGCCTAATGTTTCAAGCCAGCTATTGTAAATTCCTTTAGTGGCTAGCAAGAGAAGGAAACACTAGGCAGGACACATTTGTATGTCTTCTGCTTAGATATACGATGGAATATATTATGTTTCCTATTGGATGTGGTAACCCTCCAGATTTTTTTTTAAAATACTTAAATACAATAGTATCTTATTAGCTTTTTTAAAAAAATAAAATCTTTGAGACATCTTCCTACTAAATATTCTCTATAGAAAATGCAGCCTGTAGATAAATTCTGCCCTAGCATGTACATTTGGGATTCCTGTTGACTGATGATCTACCATGTGTCTCTGAGGGTATAATCTGACCTGTAACATTAGATGTTTAATGATCTTAAAAAACCTGAAGTGACAAAGATTTTACCTGCTGAGATTTTGAATTGGGATTTATGTGCTTTTTCGATGGTTTTGCAGTGGTGAGGGAAGTTCCACGTGTGGTGCTTCCGACCCTAATTTGGTTTAGTGGCAAGAGTTTGTGAGTAAAATCTTGAGGCAAGGGCATTTTTTGGGCTTTTGCCACAGGCTTCCTGTATGCATCTGTTTTAAGTGATTTAGCTTAGCCATTTGCCAGAGTCCTCCTCTCTTACTGTGGGTAATATTTTCCTGCTTTAACAGTATGTTGGGAGTTTTCAGCTGGCTGATGTTTTTACAACCCTTTAGGATCTTCTGGTAGAATGATGGGTGACTATTACTGGAGTGTAGGTGTTGGTTTTGCCAAGAGCTGAAATAAAGAAAGGGAGAAGCCTGAGGTCTGGTTAGCAACTGGCCGAGCAGCTTTGCTGTTTCTCTAAGTGGGAGCCTTTCTACAGGTGTCAGAGTGCATCTTCTGGATTGTCCCTCTGAGGATTTGTCACTTCAGATCTCCACATGCAGAGTTAAACTTTTACCATTCTGTCACAGAGGTAGAATAAAAGTATCTGAGTTTTATACCCACGTTTATTTACCTTTCTGTTGAATCTTAAAACTAACTTCCACTCAAATCAGTGGACTCGAGTGTTTTCATGTCAGCTATTAATTAATTTCCTCAGTGGAGGAGAAGCCGATCCAAACAAGTTCATTTAGGTGTTCAGAGAGCAGGTTTGATTGTATGCTGTTACAGTTTGGAAAGACAAGCAATGTAGGTGTGACTTCATCTTAAAAAGCATTTAATTTCCCATTGCAAAACATTACCTCCATTTATTGTAAACGAGGACTTGACAGAAGTGCGTAATGTAGTGCTGCTATCCAGGTAAGCTGTCTAGGGACTTGCTTCTCTATCAGCCAGTGCGGGGGTGTGTTGAGGGCTGAGGGAGTTGACCTTCTGCACAAAGAAGAATCCAAAAAGATGGAGAAGTCTGGGCTGGAGAAATAGCTTCTCCTCAGTTGCCCCATGCCCTCTTTAGGCTGGCTGATTTCACCCTGAAGACAGAGTGTGGCATCCATGAAGGAAAATCCATTTCCACAAGAACAAAACGTGTTGTTTTGTTGTTTGTTTTTTTTTTTCCCTTCACAATTTCATTGAGCAAGGTCTTTCACATATTCCCTTTGTTCGTAACATAAATTTCTAGTGCTGCATTTCTTCCAGATGAGTAAGCAATGAGCCAGGATTTCACAGTGAGGAAAAGGTCTTTGGGATTTTTTTTTTTTTCCAGAGGATTCATTCCCATTATTTATGTTGCTTTGTCTATGGCTTAGAGAGATTCTCAGAAGGTGTAACATACTGCAACTATTTATACTGTAGCCACAAGCAAAGTCACTTAGCCAAGAATATACTGTGTTGAAAGCATTAAGTCACTTTAACTCTGTTGTTGCCAGTTTTTTAGTCTCCTATGTACCTGTTGCTTTAAAAAGCTGCTTTTAAAATTAATTTTTTGTCCCTCAAGCCCTGGTGATACAACTTTTGGCCTTTGCTAGTCCTGAAATAACCCCATTAAAACTATTACAGTAGTTTGCAGCAAAGGTCTGTGTATGCACATTCTGGTGAAGGAAACAACAGAAACAGTCTGCTCTTAGAGCCCAAGTGTGCAAGTGCTTGAACAGTTATTCAAGCTTGTTTCTTCTTTGTCTTGTTCAAAAGAAGCTATTTATTGTAGAAGTCTGTTATCAGACTGTAAAACAAACTCAGCACACTGATTAGTTTCTTACAAAGCACATGTCTCCACCTTCTGTGCCTGACAAAGGAAAATAATTTAATTTAGTATCATAAAGGGTCATAAATAGTTGTTATATACTGAGCACCATTACATTGCCACTTTGAATCAAGTCAAAGTATCAGAGATTTCCAAAATTAAAGACTTATTTTGCCTGAATACTTTTGGGTAG